ACTAGTGTAGGCACTGGTTTTCTTGGCTATTTACTGAACCCACTGAATTTTATTGCCTGTAGCTTAGTTTTGCTTCGGTTGCTTGGGTGATTAATGTGGATTTTATGTGTTGGTTGTTTCAGATTGAAATATTTTATTGCTGCACCCTTCCTGGAGATCAATTGATAGACTATGGGTTAGAAATAGTCAAACAAATGAACAAACAAACAAACAAACAAATAACACAGTGTACCCATTCAGCCAACGTTTCTCCAGTTTTTTGGCAATTCTTCCATTTTTCCAAACAGCAAAACTAAATTAATACTGAAAATATAAGTGACAAAAATGCGGCTCAATTTTTATCTCATTCAACTGAGGAATAATTCTTAGGGTATCCTATGTCAAACTACACAAGGTTCATGATCTCGCAGGGGGTACGACCCATTTAAAGGACTCTCCCTTACCACGTAAACGGCATGCTGCAAAGGCCTGCAAAGAAATGAACATGGCAAGATTCTCAGAAGCCCAGAACCAGTACATTAGTCATACTATGGCAAATACTTTCATAGTCAACAATAAAGCCATTCATATTTCTCCTTCTGGAAAGAAAGTTTAGTCCCTTTTTTTAAGTTCATATGAATGGTGAGACCCAAATTTAAAATAAAATAAATCCACCCCAATGGGAATAGTGCAAATGAAAACATGACATATTCATTGCAAATTAGCAGGACAAATTGCTAGTCTCCAAATTTGAGGCTAATTGGCGAGATAAATATAGGTTGCGGCTTTTAGACGGATATGGCTTCCTGTTCTAGTTCTGCAGTTTTAGGAGTATAAAGTTTCTAATGCTAAAGCAAAATAGAGGCGCTCGGTAACTTGCGCTGCACGCTGTCCACTGGCATCAGGAGGGCTGCAGGAACAGAATCAGCCACAGTATCCAGTCTGGTTAGGCCACGTACCTCGTTTCAGGGCTGGGACTCTTTCAGCCAGGTTTTTCCTGCCTTGGGGTTAGAAACACCAAGCTTGCATCTAATGTTAGTCCTATTCAGAGCAAGTCCCTTGTATGACCCACTGGAGTACAATTCAATTCAACCATATACCCTACGCAGGACCAGCGCTGGACTGGATACCATCACAGTGCACAGAATGCCTCCAACTGGCCCATGTCCTACCCTATTTCTACCTGACCTGCCATCCTGGCCATTTACCTGTTTGTAAGTTACCCAGGAGGGCCTCTCCTTACATTGCTATGTTGCCCATTTTTCCTCTTTTCAGGTAGGTGCAGAACATAAGATGGTGATGGTGCAGAACATAAGAAAGGCCATGCTGGATCGGACCAAAGGTGCATCTGGTCCAGCACTCTGTACACACAGAGACAACCCAGCTGCCTACAGCAGGATGGATGCCAGACCTCTTCTTGCCCAAGAGGAAAAAACAGGAAGTCTCCTCTCTGCTTTGCCACATGGCTTACGGTCCTCCTTCACCTTCCGGCCATGCTTCCTCATTCCACTAAGTAGGCCAAACTTTGCCATTGGCTGCTGGCTAGACGCCAACTGAACACACTTTAATTACATTTGAGGGCACGGTCCTGTGAGGATGCCCACAACACTTCAAACACAGAGAATTGTGGGCATTCTATGGAGTGTAGGAGGAATACAAACACGAAATGTGCTTCCATACCCCTCTGCTCTGCAACGCATTGAGGTGGCCCATTTCAGCTGCCTAACTGAGCTAACTTCAGAGCAGGAGGGAAGGAGGTGGAGGTGGCCCCTGGATACCTCCCCTTCCCCTGGAACAGTCCCCACCGCCCTTATCTGTGGTCACCGTGATCTCAGAGAAGCAGCAAGTATGACTCTTTCTGCACCAGTCACAACGGGGTTGGTGTGGAGGTGTCCTAAGCAATTTTCAGACCACACAGCTGGGAATCTGAAAAACCCCAGGGCAACTAGATGCTGTCTAGCACCTATAGATTCGGGGCCCAAAGCTCAGAAGAACTCAAAAAAGTGTTTTATTGTTCCACAGGATTATAGTTAACAAACAAGGAGTGGCCTTGCATGTGTATTGACATGGAGCAATCCAAAGAAAAAGGAGTTAAGAAAATGGCAAGAACAATTCAGTGGCATGGTGAAAAATGCAGATAACAGACATAATCAGGATAAACTGGCGCACCATGCACACTGTAGCACAGTTAGAGGCACATTTTCTGTACCTCCACGGTAACTATTAATTCCAGTGTTAGCATTTGATTCAGGCAACAAATCTTGACTTTACGGAAAAGATCCACCACCCCATTAAGCTATTTTTAAAAACACACAAATTAATACAGCAACAAACTGCAGAGAAATTACCAGCCATAAATGAAAGTGCATGCTGTGTTGTGCGGACAGCTAGCTGGGGAATGCTGGGCATTATTGGGTTCTCTCTCTCTCTAAAACATGTGCAGAATCACACCCCAATTGGCTAAAACTAGCACGAATTATCACCTAAGAGCTTTGTAACGGCGCAGTGGTCAATCTAAGCATTAGGAATTTAGGGCAAGGGGAAAAATCAGGAAAACACACTTTATTTTATTCTCTTCCAGACGTGTCCTGGCACTTGACAATGCTCAATTAAAGCCAGGAATGCATTACTGTTTGATGATCTAGAATGTACCAGCTTTGGAGAATGAGAACCATTTTAAATAGATGTAAAAACATGTTCTGGTTCTCAAAGATACATCAGTTTGAATCAGTATGGCTTCAGCAGAGTTATTCTACAGTCACTCAGGTGTGAGTTGAAGCCATGCCCTGCCTTGAAGACTCTGAGATAGTTCTTTGTAATCAATAATCTGATCTGGACCACGGTTTCATTCTTTCCTTTCCCTTGAATGATGTGTTTGCATACAGATGTGACAGCGGTTCTGGGCAAAGTATGGAAGGAGCATCTGGAATTCTTTTATTAGTGTGTATTTTTGAGGTTTTTTGCTTTTGGACCACATGCTCAACTAAGATAGGTCTGCAAATAGAAAGGAAGTGTCCTTTTACCAAACATGTAGTTTTATTTCTGTGGAACATATTGCCATGAAAAGTGAAGAAGGCAGAGCTGAAAACATCTGGCCCTTAAGGGTTCCTTCTAAGTTTAATATAACTCCCCCTGAAATAAATGGAAACTGAACGGAAGCACAACTGTGCAGAAGGCATTCTAGAAAGGCAGTTGTAGTCCTCGACCGTCTCCTTATTATACAAGTGGCCAGGAAAGTCATGGAAGGCAATGCTATTCCACAGCCACGTCCTCAACCTTGCTTTCAAAAAGCTGTTTTGGAAATTAATTGCAGTCTCACTCGCTCTCTGTTATGTCCCACTACAGCAACCTTCCCCAACCTGGTGCCCTTCCCATTATTTCCAGCCAGCCTGCATTAGACCATCCTCTGCTTGCTGCTGCTGGAGACAAGTTGCTGCTTTGACCAAGAATAGCCATCAGTTCCAAGTTTGCTTACATTTTATGAGAAAGTATCTCACCACAAATTCTGCAGGGTGATACAATCCCAAAGTTGTTTTAGCAAAGCCAAGAAAAAGTAAGGTCAAAGACTGGATGTGACCTTACCTTATACAATTTCATCTGGAAGCATAAAGTCATTCTGATTTTTACAGCTGGAATTATTTAATGTAGTCACACTACTACCAAGAATCAGTACCTGGTTATTTATTTGCTGGTACAGTTAAGGACTGCCCAAAAAGGTATCTTAAAAATAATGAAGACATTTTTGGGGGAATCCCAGTTCATAGCAATTTTTCTGGAATGTTCTTCAACAAAACATAGCTGCTATGTAACTTCCATTTGGGGCGGGGCCATACCTTATGTGGTGCCTATGGGCCAAACTAGACATGATGGCAGATCTGAACATAGTACAGGAAATGTAATACAGGTTTGCCCCAATAATGTAAAAAGCAGGGGTCTATGTCAGCTTTCCCCAACCTTGTGCCTTCCAGACATATTTGGAAAGCAACACCCAGAATTCCCAGTCAGTGGCCCTGCTGGATGGGAATTCTGGGAGTTGCAGTCCAAATGCCTCTGAAGGCCACGGGGTTGGGGAAGCCTGAGCTATGTGAAACACCAAATGGCGCATGTGAGGAAGGGGTCATGGTCCCTTCCTTTTCTGTGGCTTTTCTCTCAGCAGTCCACCACGCAGACCTCCCCACACCTCCAGCAGGCTCAGCTGGGCAAAAATGCCCAGGGAGTGGAAGAACTCAAAGATAATGGAAGATTCCGCTCCCACATTCTGTTCAAAAAAATCAGGTGCCCACTCACATTCTAAGGCGGAGTGAGCAAGATGCAGCCCTCCAGACCCTGATGAACTGCCACTCCCATCCTCCCTTACTTATACTGGCTAGGGGTGGTGGGACTTGCAATCCCACAACTTCCAGAAGGCCACAGGTTGCCCACGCATGCTCTGCGAGCACAGGCAGCATAGAACCAGGGGCACCCCCAGGTGAGGCTTTTACTGTACAATCCTGGCCCCTGATTCATGGGCTGTTATTGGGGTGTGGGGGAGTGGGGTCTGGAGGCGGCTACCCTCAAGGTGCAGCCCTCCCTTGCTTTCCCACCACTGCTTCCCTTCTTTTCCTTGCCAGGCCAAAAAAGCATCAAAGCAGGAAAAGGTTCATTAGCTGCACGATGCCTGTCGCCTGTCAGTGCAAAAAGGGGCGTGAATACCCATCTTGCTGCTCACTTCCCCACTCTATCAGCCCAGGAACCTCTCTCTCATCCAGGGTCACTTCCAGCATCTGACTCTGGGTGGAGGGAAAGTATTTTGGGCAGATGACTGTAGCTTCCCGGGGAAGGTGTGGTATTCCTCTTCAACAAGCTCCTTTTACTGTCTAACTCAGATGCCGCAACACACACACACACACCCTGCTTTCTACAGGACCTGATTTAAAACACACGCATCTGCTCCGACTGCATCCAGCTCAGCTCTGAGGCACTCGATAGCGGCACTCGCACACGCACAGATCAAGTGAGTCAGAGGCACTGCTCTTTCTTACCTGCACCAGCGTCATCTGGGAGCCAAGAGCCAGCAAAATCTTCTCTGTCTTAGTGGGGTACGGATTGTCCCGGTGCTTGTACAGCCACTGTTTCAGCGGCCGCGCCATGTCCTGCAAAGCTTGACGCTTGTGTCTCACCTTCCCACTGTTCTGCCGAGTGCTGTAAAGCAGATGGTGAAAGAGGCGTTTATAGCAAGACGGCTTATCAGCCCTGAACTCATCACAGCCTCCTGTCTCGGGACACCACAGGGGGAGGGCAGGCGGGGAAGCCTTCATTCTGCCACTCACTCCCCATCTGTGCGGAGCGTCATCAGAACTGCTCCACAGAAAGCAGACGGAGTGCATGATGGTAGAGAACAACACGGCGAATGTCATATACCCTGTGTTGAGCAATGGGCGCACACAACATCAGTATGGAAAAAAGATACCAGGGTCCTGTCATGCCCTGCAAAACTTCCACTGCAGAGAACCAGGCTCCTGTTTATTCTCCCCCAGGATTAAGGCTCAACTGCACAATAAACAAACTGCATACTGCAACTGAAGAGGAGGAAAAAACATGCATAAGGAAATTAAGTTGTCCTTTAAATCATTTATTCCCTCTGCCTCCCTCTCCCTCCGGTTGCAGAGACTGGTTTCTATCTCACGCTACTCTGCACTGGAAGTGCGACTCTTTGTTGTCTATCTGTTGATCGATAAACGTGAACATGTGCACAGCTGAAATTATTGCTGATGACCCTAAAGACAGAAAAAATATCAGCCAACAAGTATCAAATGATTTTGTTAACTGCCCAGAGAGCTTTTTAGAGATGGACAATGTAGAAATATAATAAATAAATATTATATCTACATGAATAGTAAATGTGCTATGAGGACACATACAGATCTGTGAACATGACACTATACTTTACATGCTATGAACTGTACATAGGAGTTCCTGTCAGCTGTGGCTATCAACCAGTTTAAGAATGTTTAATTGCTTGTTTGTCTGTCTGTTCAACTAATCTACCAGTTCAATGCATTGTGCACTACCCAAATCCTGATACTGATACATTTTGAGATATCTGAATTAGCAATTGAACAAAAGCCCCTAATCACTGTTTTGATGATGGTGGTTTTTTAATGTATTTATATGTGTCATTTCATTGACTGCAACATCAGCCTACACATACAAGCGCTCAGGTGCCCTTAAATCTCAGCCCTGCCCATCAAAGAATTAAACTCTCCATTCAACTCAAGTTTCTGAAATGATGGGAATAACTTAGCTAGGATAAACTTAAGTTCCAGTGCTTTGGTGAAACTTGTCATAGCAACTATGTTGAGCTGCTTCATGCGTACTCAGAAATAAACTCTGCTGTGCCCAGTGAGTCTAACTCCAGACAAAGAAAGCACGGGATCGCAGCTTTGTTAATCAAGGCACCATTAATGCTTGCAGCTCTGAGACGGTCTTGTTACTGCACAGTGTTATCATCAATAGTTAGAAGCAACATAAGAAGAGCCCTGCTGGACCAAAGGTCCATTTAAGCCACATGTTTCTCACTACAGCCAACAGGTATCCATGGGAGCCCAGCGGGGAGCATGAAGGCAGGTGTGTTTTATTTGAAGACATACGGAGGGGAGAGGCTGCAACAGGGCCGCCTTCCCCTGAAGTCACTGAGTCCTGGCCAAAGCACTGGCAGCATCCAGGCAGTTGGCCTTTGCTCCCCTTCCTCCCCTTTCCCAGCTAGGGAAAGCCTGGAGGAACACAGCCCATCAGGGCATGAGCTCTGTTCTTCCTCCATGTTCCTGGTGCATGGGAAGAGCGCAGCAGACGCAGCCAACAAGCACCAGCCGCCTCCTCTGCCATGCCCTTGTGGAGAAGAAGTGAAGCAAGAGGGCGACGGCATGATTACTCTCCTGCGTCCCTCCTCTGGGGAGAAGAGGCTTCATGGAGGGCAAGAGGTCTTATCCAAAGCCCTGGAGCCACATGTGGCCCACAGGCCAGAAGCCCCCCAGGCCTGAAGCCCACGTATATAATTTTAAGCCCATTATATAAACGGAAGCGCATCTGTATAATTTTAAAACAATTAAATAGGTACATGATTATAGGCAAAGCAGTTTGTCTGACAGTACAAGCTACGCTGCTGAGCCACAAGTAAGCTCATCCTCTCACCATGCTGGCTGCAGCTTGCTCGCCTGCGTGGCAGATCGCCCCAAACAGCCATAATACTGAGAAATATGTATTGGGGTGGGTGTGCTGGTGCCCTTGAGATATTTTGGTCCATGTTGGCCAATGGCAGTCAGCACAGGCAACAGACGGGATTTATGAGAGCTGCACTCTGTATCAGTCGCCTAACCAGATCTGCCCAGTCTTCAAAGTAGCCCTGCGAGGAACAAACCATCAGGGCCGTGGTTTAGGAATGCAAGGCTAAGCACCTGCAGAGTTCTTCAATTATTTGATCTGCACAGCAGTTCTGGAGCCTGCCTGAAATCAGTTCGCTCAAGTATTCTTGCAAACTTCAGGCAGCCTGGATAGCGCCAGTCCGACCACTTCTGTGCCACGAGAGCTGCTTGCAAATTACACACGTGCACAGAGGTCCATATGGTTGCTCCGCCGCAATGGGTGTCCCCCTCCCATAGCTATCTACAACTAATATCAAAGCAGGCACAACAAGCAATTTATAACAGCACTGCAACAGCTGCATTTTTGTACCAAATGATTTAAACACACGACTATTCAAAATCTTGCAATGGGCAGGAACCTGGTGCCTCCAGATATTTGGGCTACAGCACTCACAAGTCCTTGGCTGCTGGTCATGCTGGCTGGGGATGACGAGATCTGTAGTCTAAAATATCTGGTGGGCAACAGATGGCCTACACCTCTTGCTGCAGATCCTGTCCCCAAGGCTCAGGCTCATGGTCTGGTGGCCATCGACACCCTCCTCTGCATGCCAAGAATCAGAACCAGGCCATCTCACTCGGAACTGAAACTTGACCTTGTTGGACAGTCCAATGATGATATGCAAGTGTTTTAGCCACACGTAATAGTTGATATGGTATCTATTTCCAGATACTGCATCACACATGGAGCTCTTCACCACATGGAGGCAAAGGGCGGCCTGATGGACTGCGTGTACATTCCTCCACTGAGAAAAGGGCCATCCAGTGGGAGATTGAACCTTGTCCTTCAGGCATGCCCGGGCTTTGCATGCATATGCTGTTTAACAAGTATAAAGCCCCATCTTGAGCAGTGCTTCTTTTGGTGGAAGGACATCCCACGGAGTCCAAGAGGATTCATGCTGAAAGAAGTTAGCACACGACTGCAGCCATCGGGTCTGAAATAACCACATCTTCAAAACCACTGCCACCTGCTCGTTCAATGCAGGGGCTGAGGAAGCCAGTCCAGGACATTCTGGGGGCTGAGGCGGAATACATGCACGCATATTTTAGAGGTGGGTACTCGCCTCTGTTCTCTCACTGAAATGCCTGTTCTTTGCTTAGCTAGAGAGCAGCTCTGAGAGCTGAGGCTGTAATACCGTTTTTTTCCCAGAAGGTGCTGCTCTCAGGCCACATCTGGTACTAGTTCCATCCCACCCCCCCATTCTCACCTTTTTTCTAGCCTCTTGGGCTTTTTGCCTTTTAATATTTTATTTGAAATCTAATTCTGCCTGAATCAGCTGGTAATAAAATCTTGATGAAACACAGTTACCATCTTGCTAACCTGAAATGCTGTTAGAAGTTTGAGCTGATGCAAGCGTTAAACCGATAACTTGGCAGTAGAAATAGTTTTTCTCAAAATCTTTTGCATTTTGACATCTCCCGATTGCTCATAATTATCAAATTATCCACTGATTTGCAGCCTAATCTCATGTATGATTAGCCTTAGGTCTGCTGCATTTTGTCCAGTGAAAGTGATTTTCAAATGAAGGTGTGAAATGGGATCCACTGCCAGTGCCTTCTGCATTTAATTTCCTTCTGCCCTCACCATGTTTACTGCACATACACCTGAACTCTCAGCAACAATGCATGCATCTGATGCACTGGACTACAGTCCACAAAAGTTTATACCAGGATAAATTTGTTGTCTCTAAAGCACCACACGACTCTCTCTCTAACATTATCCTCTTAAATGGGTGATAAGACATTCCCCTCCCCCACCACCACTTTCTGCCTTACTTCTGAACAAAAGGGGTAATCTCAGATTGTTAGGGACACATACTTTAATGGGGACTATATGGATTAGATTTTTTAAATCAAAGTATTTTGTATCTTGACACCTGTTGGAGCAATTAATACAGAATAATCATATTAATAAACGTATTAATGAATTTCAGCAGAAAAGAAAGTGTTATGACTTGCAGCTTGCCACCAAACAATCTTTTTTAGAAAAGTACATTTAGAAAAAAATGTTTTTTTTAAAAGAAGACCATTGTCTCTAAAATGTATCTCATTTTAGCCCTACATCGAGCAGACTCACAAAAACAAATGGGGTTTAATTAGGCTAGGGTTCGATATACCACAAGAACTACAGAGAGCAATAATCTTATCTTAAACTGTTGGGATTTCCATTTAAGCCAATAAGCTTTGCATTAATCAATTCACCATTAATGCACTTGGGTGGTGTATAATTTATCTCTTGTTCTGTTTCCCATATGCAATTTTCAAATATTTCCTAAAGTTTATAGCTTTGCTGTCCTTACATCGGGATTATCTTTTCTGGATTAAACATTTACCCTTGAATTATTCAGAGCCTATGTACGCACAGAAGCCCCAGTGAGAGCAGAAGGGGCTTACCCCCAGTTACACGTGTACTGGACCAACACCCTCCCACAGGGTGCAACAGGTTTTCAACACAACAGCACGTTCAATACAAGTGGACAACTGGAACAGCAACCGTAGGCCAGGGATGGGCAACTCATGTCCTTCCCAGTTTTTGGACTAGAACCCCCATCAGCCGTAACCCTTGGCTAGGCTGGTGAGAGCTGCAGGCCAGAACACCCGCGGGGCCACAAGCTGCCCTCCTCGGCCTAGGAAACACGTCGCTCCAGCGGGTTTACGCCACTGGCTTGCAAGCCTACGCGCAGTTTTGCACAGCGAAGCAGCAAGTCCCAGGGAGCAAGAGCGGGGTTTACGCCTGAGTTAACAAGCACGAGGCTCGCCTGGGGGCCAAGGCCTTCAGGCCTAACTGGAAGCAAGCTCCGCTTAGCGAGATTTACCTCTGAGCAACCGCGAGGGAAAAGCGGAAACAGCCGCGCCGCGCACAGACCGGGACGCCGGGAAGCCTCGCGCGGCGCCTGCCCGGGTCCCCGACAGGGCGAGCCTCCCCGCGCGCCGCCAGGGTGGGGACTCCGTGCTGCTGCGCGCCCCCCGCGGCCCCCAGCGACCCACTCGCCTGCTCCTACCCGGTCCTCCGGTGGCGCAGGCTGAGGTTGTCTTTCATGGACGGGCTGTCGGGGATGAGCACCTCCGGGTGCGGGGAGACGTCCAGGACGCCCCCGTACGGCCGGCCGCCGCCCCTGTCCCTCTCGCCGGCGCCGTCTTCGAAGAGCCCCGCGCTGCCGAGCTTGTTGAAGACGATCGTGTTCATGGTGGAGCAGGACGGGAGCTGGCGGGCGGGCTCCTTCGGGCGTGGGCAGCCCGGCCGGGGCGCAGGCTCGATCAGCGGGGAGAGCTGCTCGGCGCTTCCGAGGTGGGGAGGACTCGACGGGTGCTGCAACGAGACGCATCGGATTACTGGGAAGAGCAGCCAAACGGATCGCGGCGGCGGCGGCGGCGGGGGGGGAAGGACGGAGGGAACGGGCGAGATCAAGGCGAGCCGACTTGGCAGGGCCGGCGGAGTGGCCAACGGCAGCTGCTACTGAACCGCGCTTCGCTCCCCCCCCCCCCGTCCCATCGCCAGTGTGAACTTTTTGGGGGCTGGGAGGGAAGGAGGCTGAACGCCGCAAGGCTCGGCCTGGGCCGCTTTGTAGCTGCGGAGGCAGCAGGCAGTCTGCAAGACTTATTAAGCCCCGATCCCGGGTGGATTTACACAGACGTAAAGCCTCTAGGGATCCAAATTCTTACAATTATTGCATGACTATCCTGACTCCGCCCCCCTTGCAAGGTGCTCAAGGTCCCCCTTCTCCCCTCCACTTTATCTTCCCAACAACCCTGTGAGGTAGGTTCGGCTGAGAGCACAAACACCTCGTGCGCGTCAGGGCCGAGTTGGCACTGGAGTACCAGCACTGGCTTTCTGATGGGTTCGACTTTCCAGTTGGGTATGTTCGAGGTCTGAAAGCCCCAAGCCATTTCAGACCATGTCAAGCCTAGGACGTGGGGCATATGTTGCTTGCCAGCATCTCCCAACACTCCTTGCCATTGGCTATGCTGACTGGGGTTGATGGGAGCTGCAGTCCACCAAAGTCTGGATGGCTCCTCTTCCCCGCCTCTACTGTATGTGGTGTGGCGGGCATTTCCTCCCTTCTCCGCCACATAGTTGGGTCAAATGCCCGTCCTTCCCTCCCCACTCACACGAGTCAAGGGGTACACGAATATTTCAAAAAGAAGCGGGCTCCATTCTTGGAAGTATCTCTTCGCTGCAGCAGTCTCCGCTTCCGAGTCATTCAACACCGTAGCTTCCTGCTGTTCTCACAAACGGCCCCGCGCAACTCATGTAAAGTGGAAGTCCTCGATCGCCAGGACTCCAAAGCAGGGGGTCTCCCCTCCCCAGCCAGGAAAAAATATTTGCTCAGGGTCCTCCTGAACCGAAAACGAGAGGTTGGACCGAGAGCTGATCAAAAGGCAGGCGCAGGGGGGACTTTGGAGATCTAAGAATGACAATCCCATGCTGAGTTTCCGCACCTGGGGAGTAGGGTTGGGTTTTTGTTTTAAGAATAATTTAAAATAAACTATCCCGTCCCCCTTGCACACTCTGCCTTAAAATGTGCTGCTTGTGTGGACGTGCAGAAGGCAGGGTATTTAGGAGACGGGGCGTCCTCCTTTCAGATGGGCATACCGAAGGATTCCTGTGAAATCGTTTCACGGCGCAAGTGGCACGGATGCTCTTGGTTCAGGCCAGGATGCAAAATAAAGATCACCATGTCAGAGGTGCGATGGGGGGGGGGGCCGGGGAGGGCTACCAGCACTTGAGTGAGAACTCCTGGACGATTGGTTTGAAAAACGAAAACAAAAGCCAGCCAGGTTTAAGTCAGCTTTTCCTTAACCCCTTTTTTCAACCCGCCTCTTTCAGGTTCTCTCCCTTTTTAAAGACTGGCACAAGCAGCCGCGGAGCGGGGTCCAGGTCGCGTCTCAGCGCTCCTGTGTGACAGTTCTTTAAATGCCCCTCGCAAAGATGCACGGGGCATCCTAAACCATTAGCGTTCATCTTTGGCTTTCGCTCAGTCTGTGGTATGCATTCGCAAGTAGCAGAAAAACGACCCTGGAGGCAGAGTGTCCGCCCGGCGTGTGGAAACGCATCCTTGCGGAAAGCACGCTGGTGCCTCAAAGGGACCGTGGAGCGCTGGAGCTCCAGACCTGCTCGGCGCCCTAACAGCGAGGCGGGCAGCCCTTCCCCTCCACGTGCCTGACCGCGCTGCATCAGTCCAAGCCACGCTTGCGGGGTTTACACGTCTGGAAGAGCAGCGCGCCAGGGCAACGACCATCCAGTGGGGCTTCGGGTTGCCACTAGCCTTCAGGGATCTGCTTGCCAGAACCGGGACGGTCCTCGCAATGGGCCGGAGAAGGGGCTCTGGAGGGCCGGCGCAGGACTCCGCACCGCCTGTGTTGCTGGCGCGCGAGGGGGAGGGCAGCGGCCCGCTCCCCCCCCCCACGGCAGGGAGGGCAGTCAGACATCGCCCCCACCGCAGCGCACTTCTGGCGTGCCCCCTTCAGCTGAGGCGCTCCTGCCAGGGGGGCCCGCGGGTCAATTGCAGGTGGAAGATGCTCAGCCTCTCACCCTGAAGACCCCCTAACCCCATCCTTCCCCTGGAGTCAGCCCCACGGGACGCCCCTGCCGGTTCCCGGTGGACGCGTCCAGGATGAGAAGGTCCTGTTCGTGGGCACCTGAAAAGGACAGGCGAGTCGCCTCCCACTCCGAGCACCGCTTCGGCCCCTTCAGCCTGCTTGTAGACGGAAGGGAAGAAATGGAGTCTGTTGGCTCGGGATTCGGAGAGGCTAGCAAGCGCTTCCATTTATTCGGATCTCCGTCCGTGCGCTCTGAACTGGGCATGCGTCCTCCTTTCCCCCTCCGCAGAAGCTCGAGGGCTCCGAAGCAAACGGGGGGTTGGCGACCCCATCGAGGTGGCCCCTGGAGGCGCTGCCACCAGCTCTGGGAGAGCTGCCTGCGGGGCTTCCCTGCTCGCCATCCCCTCGGGAGGCGCGCCGGGCGCTGCCCAGCCCGGGCATCCGTGGGTCCCTTTTGTCCCTCGGCCAAGCGGTTCGCCTTCGCAGCGGGGCATTCAGCCACTCAGGCCGCCCCTCCCGCACAACCAAGGGGGTGCTTCCAAACCCACATCTGCCCCCTTCCTTCTGCTGTCGCCAGCCTTCTCCCCCCCCCCCCCGCCGCCGCTCCCCCGAAAGCGCGTCTCGACTCAGCCGGCCCGTTCCCTTGAATGAAAAGCGGCAAAGCAACCGGAGAAATTAGCCGCGATGGCCACTGTCAATATTTGCGAGGATGTTGTAGCCGAGCCGCTGTTTGCTCCGCCTGAAAAACGAGCAGGGCCCGGATCCTAAGCACACACACCGCTCCTGGCAGGAGGGGGGAAGCGCCGCTGGACTCTTTCCGCGGGGCCGGCTGCCAAGCCGACGTGTGGGGAGGACGGGGCGATGCTCCTCTGAATGGCATGCCTGGGACATGTGGTGCGTGCGTGTGTTTGTGTACACACGGATACCGCGCGGACACGCTACAATCGTCTCTTTATGCGGCTGCTCCCTCGCACCAGTTTCTGTCTCTCTCTGGCCCTCGTCCATCTGCCCAAGCCATCTTTCGAAAGGAGCGCTCCCGTCTACATTTCAGGGGATGTACTTTTCCGCCCTCCTTGTTTTGCAAGAAAGGGTCCCCCACGCCTGTTAAGCGCTACAGTCGCTTATTTGGTGCACCCACCGTAGGCAAGGGGGAAGAGCAACGCTTTCCCACGTTTGCAGGTAGCGACCGCATAAGGAAGATCCCACTTACACTTTTAAAATTAAAGCGAGGTAAATACCGCAGTTGCGAAACTGGATTAGGGAGAACTCCCACTTGGCCATAAGTGTGTTTACACAAACGGAAGGAATCCATCTGCCTCTGCCACCCGGAGGGTGAAGCCCGGGGGGGGGGGCAGCAGGGAGCTAAACAGCAGTTGATTAAAACCGCATTAAATAGCCTATTTCCAGAAGCCCAAAATGCAGGGATTGAGAACCTCCACGGGGTGGGGACGGTCTTCCAACCTGCAAATCTCCCGTCGCCAGCGGCCAGACGGCTCACAGTCCTTGTCTGCAGGCTCACACAGCACCGCGGGGCCTACACACGTGTCCGAGACGCGGCCGTGGCGGGAGGGGGGGCGGTGACCCAGATTCCCGCGGGAGGAAAGCCCGGCCGTGCGCCGCCCGCCCGCCCGCCGCGAGCCCTGCTTTCCGCCAAGGGCGCAGCGAAGGGAGCAGCGCCCGCGCCATTGAGAGGCTGAGCACATCCGCGCCAGCACTCCAGGAGGCGTCGCGTCCGCGCAGCCGGAGCCAGCGGCGGGCGCCGGGCGGGCCTCGATCTCCGGGGGGCCGCCTGCCCCACCACCCCGCAGCCTTTGGGCACTCGATGAAAGAACGACGCGGGCGCTCAGCTGCATCTGGTCCTGCGGACTAGCGGCTCCGTGCTCGCACGCGCTTCCCCTCCTGCTTCCCCTTCATGTCTGCCTGCCGGAGTCTTCCCTTCCCTTCCCTGAAATCAAATGCCCTCCGCTCCCTGCCCGTACATCCCCTTGCGCGAACAGGGGTCCACAGGAAAGCGGCCCTTTGGAGAGGCACGCACTCAGGGGGAGACTTCATGCGAACATCGCGTCTCGTGGAGCTGCGCCCCGGCTCTCCTCGGGAGCTGGCGCCGCCCCTGCACGCAGCAGCCTCCTCGCCTCCCTCCGCGCCGCCTCCCGCAGCAGCAGAGCGCAAGCGGCGCTGCCTCGCATCTCCTTCCCGGCTTACGGAAGCGCGAAACGGCCAGTCGCGCTCCGAAGAAGAACCGAGGCGGCGAAATGAGAGCGATCCGAGGAAACACGAACCCCCCGCTATCCACCAGAAAACGCGTCCGGCGTGCACACGTTCAGCGGGCGGAAGCGCAAGAGGTGCTCAGCCGTTCGTTTTCGCGCGAGCTGCACCACCAGCGGCCACGAAAGGTCCCGTAGTTCCCCTCGTTTTTAAAAATGTAGGTGGCCGATTCCCCTCTGGACGAGGAAGCCTGCCCCCCCTAACCTGGCGTCCTTCCGAGGTACTGGACTACCCCTGGCTGGGGATGATGGGGTAGTCCAGTACCTCCGGAGGGCGCCAGGTTGGGGACGGCGAGCTCGAGCTATTGCAGCGTCGTTCCGAACGCGCCCGTTTAATAACAGGAATTGCAAACACGCGTTCGCCGCAAGCCAGGCGAGTTAC